AGAATAATTAAGATTTTTTTATTCCAAAATTGGGCACAGGAGGTGAAAGTTGAAAACTATTGATGGGAGAGCGACAGAAATATTTAAGATATTTTGTGAAGTTGCATTTAAGCACAATGAGGTGAGATCCTTTTCTTCAAAGGCCACATGGAAGCAGATAGGAGCTCTTTTTATTTGTTTTTCAGGAGGCCCAAATGGAAGCTATTGCTTATTGCTTCTGCTTGTCGTTTTTTGTTTTTCAATTTATCCGGCAATGTAATTGTAGCCAATTGTTATTTCTCATCTGTATTTTAAGCCCGTGCGTGGGCACACGGACTCAGAGGGTATGGCCCTATTTAATAAAATCACGGGCATTACAATGTTACATACATTAAATGGAGCGGGTTGGACCTGGGTTCATTTTAAAGTTTTTTTTGGGTAATTTGTAAGGCTGTGTGGTTGTAATGCAAATAAATTTGTATGGTTGTACTCAAATAAATTTGAGTACAAATGCAAATATGTATGGTACAAATATATATAAAATACAAGCCTTTGCATTCCAAACTGGGCCTTAGAGTATAAATACAAATATATACAGTATAAATGCATGCAAAATAATACAAAATACAATATTTTGTACCTTACATATTTGTATTTATACTCCTTTTAAACTGAGCCTAAGAACTTAATTGAAATGACAATATCATGCTTTTAAACACTTCCAATTTCCAATTCGTCCATAAGACTCCATTTGGGAAGATTGGAAATACAAATACATTCAAGATAAATACAAATGCTGTCATTTTCATGGACCATGTATATTTGTATTTGCATTGAATATTGTATTTGCATTTTCCCCAATGGAACCAAAGACAATCTTAGAGTGTTTGGTGACTGAAATACCTACAAAAATATTTGCCTCAAAAAGAGCTTTTGTAGGGTATTTTGGTCAAAAGACGCTTAAATGTTGTCATCCATGGACAAATTGAAGTATCTAGAAGTATGGCATTATCAATTCCCATCAGCTTCCCCATATCAATCCAATGGAAGGGTCTGTTTGTATAATTTCTGCTAAATGTCAAAGGAGAAATTGGGAGAGGTGAAAATGTATGGCTTTATTTTTTTTCCTGTACTGGATCCACCAACCAAATGTATATGTTATACATCAAAAGCACACCATAGTTTATGTTTCAAGCTGATTTTAACTTACCTAGTCTTTATGATGGCGGCCCCTGACGTGTAGCAAAAGTAATTCTTGTTTTAAGCTAACTTTTTTAAAAATTGAGTTTGGAATTTTTAACAGAAAGTAGTTGGTTGATCAAAGTACCCCCATTTATATACAATGAATACACTCTTTGCCATCTCAATTTTTTTATTTATTTTATTTCAGTTAATTTAATTTGTTCTTTTAATTTTTCATTCCCACCATAATCTTGTGGCAAACAAATGTCCCTTAAAAAGTATAAAATAAGGATATTTTATCTATATAAAATACAAGATGGTTTATAAAATAGGTCGAGTGGGATTTTGTAAAGTTCCAAATGTTATCTAAACACTTGAATTATTATTATTTTTAAGCAGCCAACAATTCATTAATGTAAAGATAGCTGTACAGATGAAGATAACAGTGGGTTGTAAGCTATCTTAACCTTGCCTTTGCATGCTAGATAGACTAGCGTATGAGCAGCCTTGTTGTAGTTTCTTTTTATATGTACAAAATCTAGTTGTTCAAAAGTAAATAAAAGTCTTATCAGTTGTGCACTAAGTTGTTCTATCCATTTCTTTGGTTGACTTTTATCCTACAAAAAGTCGATCAACTGCAATGAGTCACTGTGTATCATTATCTTAGATATCTTGAGTTGGTTGGCTGGTTTTAACCCTAAGATTAAGGCTCAGAATCCCACATCATAACTGTCGATGGCCCAACATAATTCTCCTTCAGCAAGAGTTGTGTCTCCGTCGTGGCATTTGATGATGAAAGCTTGTCTTGCAAGACCTGAGAGTATGTCAGGTAAGAGTGTTCCTTGTCGCGTTCATTGAGGTGCTATGCCTTACAGTTTCGATGCACGGTCCTTGAGTGAATTGATACTTCCAAATTCAAAGGATGATGTCCCTTAGGGTGGTGTTTTTGTGGTAAAAAACCAGATCATTTTTGGCTCTCTAAAGAAAATATAGTATGATGCAGCCTTTCCCAATAAAATGAACAGTCTCATGTAGTGGTAAATTCTTTTTTAGTCTTTCCCACTACTTTTTTATGGAAATAAAGACTTCCTCTTCCTCATTAATGTCATTTGGGTTTAGTCCCACCTGTGCTTCACACCAAACCGCCCTTGTGAAAGAGCATGTAAAGAAAATATGTGGGGCTATTTCATTTTTATCTTTACAGAATGGACAGTATACTTCAGAGGGGCACTCGAATTATTAAAACTGGAGGTATGTTAATGGAGAGGTGGTAAAAGCAACTTAATCCCAGACTATATAGGCGTAGGTTGATAGGTAAAGATGAGGGGAGGTCTTATTATTTGATCAAAACCCTAGGGGAGGTATAAATAATTTACCCAAAAAAGAAAGGGCTTTAGGCCAATTTACTCACATTAATATGGCTGCAAAATCGTATCTGTTTGTCTGATTCAAATTTGAATTCAGGTACAATCTGCTTTAAGGCTATCTGGATTTGATTTGTTTAATTATGATTGTAATGAATATGAATCTATTCAATCTGATCTGATTCAATAATATTTAAGCATTCACATTTTATGTTTTTATTTGCATAAAATTAACATGCATCTATTAGGTTTGAATCCTGTGTCTTTACCCAAGAGAAATAACTAATTCTAGCCTCATATGTTCAAGTAGTTATTTTCAATTTGTTCTATTCACAATATACAATATCAAATTCATTTTTAGTTTAACATATTAAATATGCTAATGTAAGGAACAAAAGGGTAAAAATATGTATTTATATAGCAAAAATATTATATTTTTTACTATTTTCAAATTAATTCTTTAGACTGCGTTTGGCAACATTACATTTATGCATTGGAGTGTAAATCCCGGTTCAGGGTAAATTTGCACTCTGGTTCACTTTTGTATGTGTTTGGCAACATTACATTTATGTATTGACAAATGACAGACCAATGCATATTTACATTGATAATAAGATGTAAAAGTACATCAATAGAAAAGAATTAAATTTGCATTCAAGTGGGCTTTTGATAAAAAAAAAAAACATATGCTTTATTGGAATTCATGCTTGCATCCACTACAACTAAATGTTTGTTTGATAAGAAGGTAAATTTGTCAATACAAAACTAGCTCGATTTTGCATTTTATATGAACTGTTTTACACTATACATATTTGCATCATTTCCAAAAACAGCCTTAATGTTATTCAGCATGGTGATTTAAATCTTATGAATAATATTCAGTTTAAATTCAAGAAAAAAAATCAAGTTTGGATCTAGGTATATCTTATGATTTGATCCATTTGTAGCACTACTTATGAAATTGGTTGCTCATGAGAGATACAACATGGGAACTAAGGATTATGAGATGAATTGCACCAATACAGGTTGGACTATTCTGATTTTGATCTTTACCTGTTTTAGGTAGACAAGAAAGAAAACTACTAGTCCACCATGCTCATTAATTTCGTTCCTGTATTCCCTGGTTTATCAAAGAAAACTACTGGTCAAAGTTTCAGATTTTGTTATTGAAAACAACGTTGGAATTGGCTTTTAGTTGGAAAGAGTGAAAATAGCTTATTAAATAAATATGACTATATATGTTTTTTTTTTTTCTTTCCTGCGACATAGAATATAGAAGAGTTGATTGGCTTAGGTGGGTGGAAATCAAAGAAATTAATCTATTCTTTGCTTTTAATTTATGTATATCATGGCTTTGTTTTCCTTCATTACTATTCTACTCAAACAATAGAATGAGCTATGATGTCAAGGAATGCCAAATAGGCTAAGTTTGATAGATGAATTAAATTCATTTGGGTGTCATGGTTATCTCATTTATATTAATCAAACCCTGAAAATGATAATTCAAATATGAACAGTTTCATAAATTACCAATTTAGGATACTCAGTAGGGTTGATGTCCCACTAGAAGCTTGTGGATTATTTAGATGGTGTACTATAAATAAATAAAGAAAGATCCCATTTAAAAAAAAAGCATCCCATTCAACATTTCAGTGACTTTTATTTGCTGAATGATGAAAGCGTGGGCATTGAGGTAACTATATTTATTGTTCCTAAAAGAATCTATCATACACCAATAATACCTTGAATTTGATCTGCCATTAAGTTTGGAATCTTTACCTATTTTGCTTTTTAAGCATTGTTTGGTTGACAGAAAAATCATCTACTCAGATGATTCAAGAAGGTGCCAATTGGGTTAGTTTCTAATGTCAATGGATATCGCCCACCATGTCATAGATACTAAAGAGGGCCTACACCAAACAACTTAGCCTAATTGGATATCTCTAAACCATCTGCACTTGTATCATTTCCAGAGTTCTTACTTTTTTTTTACTTCAAGATACACATTTGGGATTTAAGCCGATCATTGGCCTATTAGATTTTCAAGGTGGGAGTGGGACCCATTGAAATGGTGGACTGGACCCTGATCATCTAATCTAGGATAGATGGGAAGTGATGGGCCCACTGACTGGTCATGGGTCCTGCTTTTCCATCATCCAAGGTTCTCTTTCTCGAGCCCTTGTTTTTTTTCTCTGACTGAGATTGTTTGGACTCTGCGTGGCCAAAGGCCTTCATGGTCTTCAAAGGAGGGCGCCATCACCGTACTTGGACCAACAATCCGGGTACGGGGCCACTGGACCACCTTCTAATGATAACAGTACCCGGAACCGGGACTTTTGTATTTTGTTTACGGTATCATGACTCAGATAATTTTTTACGCCAATTTTTCTTTTGATATCTCAGAACACGATAAATTGCAGAGAAATTTGTTGGGAGTTAGAGTGGACGTCCTTGGTGGTTAGTTCATTTGCCTCGTTTTTTTATCTGTGGCCATCGATTTTGAGTGTCTTTTCCATTCAGCCTCCTCTTCTTTCCAAGTGTCTTGACTTGAATGAGATGCTGCCCCCCTCAGCCACCTCCTCTGATTGTCTTTGAAGAATAAAACTCTGAAACCCTGAAACAGAGGCTCTCCCTGGTTTTTTGTCTTCTGGGTTTAGGGTTTTGGGGGTGGAGATGGGGACTTTCAGGCGACAGTTGGTAGCCATGCTTCGGAAGAACTGGCTTCTCAAGATACGTCATCCTTATGTTACTTTGGCCGAGGTCAGAAACTGGCTCTGGATGTTTATTGCTATCTTATCATGCCTTCTTTCACGCTTGTTCTGTGGGATGGTGATCTTTTGTTTTGATGGTGATGATGATGATCATCATGGAACTTAATTAATTCGAGATAATTGCACCTGTTACTTTACAGGTTATTGATGTTTTCTCGTGTTTAGTCATCAGTTATCAAGGGATGTATTATTGGTTTCTGGTGTTGTTCATGATTGTGAATTTGGCGGGAAATTGAACGATGCGTTTTAGAATTGTTGGAAGTTGAATTTTTTATATGTTTCTTACTGAAAATTTGGCACTACGTCTGATAAACTTTGTCACTGAAGTAGGAGGAAGTTTGAAAACTTTGTTTTTCTTATGCAGCTTATACTTCCGACTGTAGTCATGCTGTTGCTAATTGTAGTAAGAACCAGAGTTGATACACAGATTCATCCCGCACAACCGTATGCCATCCACAACCCGCTGCCTCACCTTTCATTTTTTCTTTCTATATGTAATGTTGCTATGGTGTTGTATTATGAGTTCAGGTACATTCGGAGGGGGATGTTTGTAGAAGTGGGTAAAGGTGATATTTCTCCTAGTTTCAATCAGATTCTTGGATTATTAATGGCTAAGGGTGAGTATCTGGCCTTTGCACCGGACACAGTTGAGACGAGGACAATGCTTGATTTATTGTCTCTAAGGTTTCCTCTCCTAAAGGTACATTTAATTGGCTCTTCCTTTTCCTCTCTTTTTTATTTCCTTTTCTCTATTTTGTTTCCTCGGTAGGTTTTTCACATTATTGATTGGATTACATGGTTCTTGAATGTTCTCCATCCATGGAGCTATGGCAAAATTGGGTTTATCTGAGGAAGGCAAGGCGAGGGTAAGAGTTATTAATGGTGAGATTAGAGTTTTGGTACAGGGGTGCGGAGTGGTGGAAGGAGAATCTCTCCTCTGTTGACGTCTTGTAGGCGAGATGGATGGTGATTGCCTTGAGCCACATAGGGTGGAAGAGTGGGTTACTGTTTGCTGGAACTGCCATACAAAACTGGTGGTGTGTTCTTTGGCCAGAGGGAGATTTCTCTTCATGTAGGAATCTCAGCTAGAAGTGCTTAGGGTTCTCAAAATCCTGCCCACCCTGTCTCAATGGGTGTTGTATCAAGCTGCAGCAGTGGAGCTCCTCATCTGAGATGTTGGTTGGGGTGGACTACTATTGGAAGTGGTGCTGTTTAATTGGCGTTCTCCTTCAAGTCTGGTCCTGGGTGGCTTTTAAAGAACTTAGAGGCATCTTGAGCAGTTTCATGGACATTTTAGCAGTGAACCTGGTTTGGAGGTGGGTTGATTCTCTTCATCTTTTAATTTGGGCCAAATTAATGATTCTGAGGTTGAAGGTGTCACTTTTGTGGTCAGAGTGGTGGTGGAAGGCTAGGCTCCCTGTTTGATTTTCACTCTTCTTACAAATTCTGGTCCAAGGCTAAGGTTGCTCAAGGGGTGGGTATGCAAAGATGGAGAGAATCTGAGACTTAGTAGGTGGTTCTAAATGAAGATGGTGCAGTCCAGGAGAGGGTGAAGGTTGAGGGCATCTCCAGTGGTGGAAAGGGACACCTGATAGGGGTGTCTCATGGAGGGAAGAAATGTAGGAGATGGTGGAGGCTGAAGGTGGGTTTCTGCAAGGATGGTAGCACTGGGACGGTGGGTGGAGTGTTGATGGCAAAAGGACCATGGGGATTTGAAACCAAACACTTGATTGGGTAGTCGGTTAATAAGGAATGCAGCTGTACTAAATGCATCAAACCAGTATGACTGCGGCATAGAAGCATTTGCAAGAAGAATAATGAGGTATCTGTGTTTTCTTTCTGCCGTCTTGTTTTGTTGTGGCATATGAGGGCAGAAGAGCTGGTATATGATGCCATGTTGAACAAGAAAGGGAGAGAATTTGCAATAGTCTCCACCATCAGATTGGAACATTTAATTTTGGTGCCAAATAGATATTCAACTTGCGTTTTGAACAAGATTAAAGTGTGGGGAGCCTCATGTTTTTGCATCAATGGAAATATCCATGTAAACCAACTAAAACAATCCATAAAATGAATATAATATTTGAATCCTGAAGTGGAAGGTACAGGGGAAGGACCCCATACATTAGATACAATTAACTCTAATCATCTAATGGAGCAGTAACTTTAGACTGACTCTGACAGTAAGGAAGGCAATGACCTTTCCCAAGTTGACAAGATGAACATAATTCTAACTTGGTGCCAGATGTTGAAACTGGATCTGTCATCAACATTGGCCGAAGTGGAAAACCCTACTTTATTTAATTGCAAACTTGCTGGCTGCTCTGGTAGTTGATAGAGTCCGTTCTTACTCACATCCTATAGGAGAGTTGTTTCTGTGATCCAGTCCTTCACATAGAAAACAGAGGGCTGAAGCTCAAACAACACATTGTTGTTAGTAACAAACTGGTGTACAGATATCAAGTTCTTTGAAATCTGAGGAATATGCAATAAATTGCACAGAACAAAATCACATGATGGAGTAGATAAGAAAGAAAAACCAGTATTTTTAATTTTCAAACCTGTTCCTTCTCCAACATGAAATTGCTCTGGCCCATGATATTCATTATGGAACTTCGGTTTATCATGGGCTGAGGTAATGTGATTAGTGGCCCTGGAATCCGGGTACCGCACTCTGTCAACATCTGAGGTAGAAACATTAGCAGTATGGGCTACAGGAAATTTAGGTTTAATACTTTTGTTAAATCTTCTTTACAATACAAGGCTGAGCATACTTGAGTTTTGCAAATTCGACAGGTACCTTTGTAAGGTGTACCCTTCTGAGTTGAAGCAGATTGAGTCTTGCCCTTGTTGGCTGACTCTTTAGAGGGAGTGGTGGAGGAGGGAACCCTTTGACCAGTCAGTTGCTATCATAGTGGGCTGATGGAGGATATTCCATGTTGAGTTCTGTCATTCTGGGGATGAACTGGAGCTTCCACAGCATATAGTTGTTTCCATCCAGCTTGGTGGTGATAGCAAGAACGTTCAACATTACTGTTGAACTTAATGATGCACAGGCCAGTTGAGTGGATGTACCATTGAGGGATGCAGTATCAATTGAAGATTCAGATGCCATGGATGTTTCCTGATGCTCTGATACAATAAAGAACCAGAGCTTGAGAGAGAAACCAATCAATACACCAGATTCAGTGGTATGATTGTATTATTTTTAGTTAATTGTATTTTGGTACATAGAGTAGTTGAGTTCTATTCGTACTCAATTAATGTGAGTCTGGGTGTTAATTGAGTGTCATTCTGTCACGTAGGGGGCATGGGCTGCATGGCTCGCAAGATGTGGGCCTACTGGGCCTAATTACCAATAGCTCAGGATGAATTTCAGGAAAGTGCTTGGTGTCTCTTTTCCTATGGAGAGGATTTTGCGAGGGAGTGGTTCAGGTCTATGGAGATCATGGACCAAGAGGTCTGCTCCAAGGCAAAGAAGAAAGAGATATGTTTGGAGAAGTTTTCAGACAGCAGTAGTGACTCTGGTTACTTATCAAATGGCCTAGACTGTCTTTCTGGTTGCAGAAAGTCAAATATCTTGGCATAAATTTTATGGTGATGTGTGGTGGTGTCGATTTGTAACAGAGGTGCCTGTTGTATTTGTGGCATGAGCCAAGGCAGAAAAGGTCAAAATTCTGCAGCCTGAAACTTTGGGTTGGGTTCTACTTTTTTGGAGTTTCTTTTGCATTTCTGGTTTGGCTGGGTGTGAGTGGTTTGCTGGCTGTTTTCCTTTTAGGTTGTTGGTCTTAGGTGCTGAGGTTTGATAGGCTCGGGATTGGGCCTGGGCTTTTGTTTCTTTTTCTTAGTCTGGGCTAGGGGTGAGCAAGAAAAACCGACCGAAAAATGACCAAAACCAAACCAGTTGGATCGTTATTAAAAAAACTGAAGGTACCGGTTTGGTTTTGGTTTACCAATATAGAAAACTGACAGTTAATCGAACCGACTGATAGACATATATTTCTATATATTTATGTATATTATATATTTTTTATATATTATAAATTAGTAAATATGCATTATATATAAAATATTTCTAGTTTTTTATTATATATTTATATTTTTTATAATATATATTGTAAATATAAAAAACCCAAAAAACTAACAAACCGAACCAATGGTGAACCAAACCGGTCAACCGATTAACTGATCAGTTTTGGTTACCGGTTTTTCCAAAAACCGGTTACCCCAGTTCAGTTTTAAAATTAGGCCCATGGTTTGGTTAACCGAACCGTTAGCACCCCTAGTTTAGGCTCCTATTCATTGCTGTCTTCTTTTTTCTTGTATACCTCTTGCAAACTCTCTTTCTTTTTAAGAATGTTTTTACCTTTCCTTTTTTTCGAAAAAAACTAATCATATCTATATCTATATTTATACTACTATTAAAAGTGTGAATGAGAGTTTGGAACTTTTGTTTGAATAAAATACCCCAATTTTTGAATTTGGTCCCTCTCTAATTGTAAGGACAGAATGTAATTTGAACAACCATTTTCCTCCTCATTCAAATCCCTCTCATTTACATTCACCGAATCCTATTCTTGACTAGAATTCCCCTATTTTTGAATTTGGTCTCTCTCTAATTGTGAGGGGATATAAAATGTAGTTTGAACTAATACATTTCTCCTCATTCAATTCCTTATCATTAAGTCTTATATTTAGGGTATTAGCTCCCATTTTTTCATTGAATCTTATATTAATTAACCATATTAAAGAAAATTAAGTGTGACAAAGAATAATATTTTTATTGATGATAGAAATAAATATAAATTTAAAACCAACCCAAAAATGGAGTTTTTTTCTTGTTTGGTGGTGAGTCAACAATTCAACCTTTTGGGTCAAAATGTGTGAACCCTTGATGCCATAATTAAATAATAATAAAAAATAAAAAAATAACATATAAAAGTATAAAAACTACAAAAAATTTTGTAGAAAACATTTGGGCACATCTCTAATATTGTATACTCATTATATTAAACAAAAATAAGTGTGACAAATAAGAATAATTTTTATAGACAAAGAAATATAAAAAATTGTAGAAAATTTTGGAAATATATTATTTACTATCATCATTATCATCATAAAAAAACGCCACATTCAAAGCACATGTGCACTTACTAGTCTATCTATATTGATAGATAGATTGTTAAAAAAAAGTCCATCTATATTGATATATAAATAGATTCTATTCCCCTTCTTTCCCTTTTCTTGAATTGCCTCTGAAGGGATTATACAAACTCATAGAAAAGGAGAAATTAGCTTTGAAAACAAAGTAGAATGTTTTCCTCCTGTTGTGGATTACTTTTTGTTGGACTGCGAAGGGCAATCCTCATGTGAGAGGTAGCTAATGACTGCTTCTGTTTCAGCAGGTTTTCTTTTGCAAAAATGATCTCGTAACCTAATAAAAGATGAGAAAAAAGAACAGCACTGATAAATAAAAGCAAGAAAAAACCTTACAAGTGTTAATTTTCTCGTGTATTGCCTCCCCACAGAATGCCCTAATTTTGGGTGGGAAATGGTATTGTTCCACTCCAACCAGCCTTAACTTGGAAAACCAAGGGGAAATTAGTGTTAGAAGAAAGTCCAAGACTCCAAGTCTAGTCACTCAACTAGTCCACTTGTGAAGTGGACCTTTTTTGTTATTAAATTCTTAGTATTGTACACAACATTGTCCTTTGTTAATGAAAGATTCTGTTGCTCATGAGAGAGGTGTGGAACTGGATGTATGGTCCTTAAGATATTCTTTTTCAYGAAAARAAGATCAAGAAATCTTGGAATAACACTTTGGCAATGCATAATTTATTTCATAAAAATGATGTATAATTTATTAAAAGGTGCTTCTCCCCCTATTATACAGATGGTTGCCAGGGTTTACCAAGATGAGCTAGAGCTGGAAACATATATACATTCAGATCTTTATGGTGCTAGTAATGAAGACAAGTAAGCCATCTTTCTTTCAATTTTGAATGCTCTTTATTCTTTCAGTGTCATAATCACATTAAGCTTGAAATAATTAAGCAAGATTTTACTCTTTTACCTCCTTTTCCTGTCTTGGGATTGGGAGTTGTAAGAGATGATGAGGGTGATTATTCTTTACCTTTCCCTTGGAATCTAATTGTTTTTTTTTATAACCCTATTTGTGTTGATAATCCTTTTTCAAGGCACTTATCCCCACCCCCCACCCCTAAGGTACTTTTTGTAGGAGCAATTTAATTGGGAAAGATTTTGCTTTAAATAAGGGTGTCTAACCAGGAAGCTTGATCCCCCATCCAAGGATGTTCTCCAATTGTTCTACCTTTTCTATGTGCAAGGTTTAAAATGTCAATGTTGATGGAAATGTTGGTTGTGAAAATATAGGAAACATTTAAGGAAGCTTCAGAAGTGCTGTAAAAATTATAGACATCGAGGAAACATTGCAAAATATGTTGAAATATGCAATGATATTTTATGAAATGATAAACAATATAGATAGATCCTTTTAAATTATTATATTGTTCCAAACCATCAAACAAAACCAAGAAGCTAGGTTAATAGACAAAAACAAATGCTGCAAAGTTGTCTTGTATAAGTAAGTTCAAACAAAATTTAAACTCAGAATATGCAAATGTTTCAAAAAGTATATCAAGCTGGCTCAAAGTGGTCATCGTTTCCATTAGGTGACTGCTGCTCCACTTTTTTTACAATATTGTTGTCAACTCATCATGTTATAATACCTTCTCATGTGTTCCTCCGGATATTACCAGTAATTTTCATTGGGGAATATGCTAATTCTAGTTATAATTCTTATCTATACTCCTGGAAATAGACATATGTTGTGAAAATATTAGGAAATGTATTGACATTCTAAACCATGGTATAGTTGTCAAGGTGATGCCTAGGCACCTGCGTAGGTGATGTTTAGGCGACAAGGTGCCCATGGATGGTTGCCTTGCTTAATCGCCTACCTAGTTAGTACATGCCTTCTATGAAATGCTTTCATATTTTTTGCTTTTTTGATATTATAATAATTAAATAGATATTATTAAACTAAAATATTCATTTTGTGAGTTTACATACTAGTTTCTTTTTATTATTTTCTTATTTGTTAGGGTTCAATCAACACACATATTGGTGTGTGCTGTCTTGAACCCTCAAAAACCTGAACCAATAAGCAAGGAAGAACTTAAAAATCTGCCAATCAATTTTAATTTCATTAAAAAAGAGGAACTTTATTACAATAAGAAAGGGGAGGGATAAAAACTCTTAGCCGTAAATGTACCATTTGTCTTTTAAATGAAATTTCTTAATTATAAAAAAGCAGTACATCAGTATACTAGAAACAAGACCATAAGAAAGACAAACCATAATCATCAATTTTTAACTTTTAAATGTTCCTAGGATTGTATTCTGTATTTGTAGGTTATTAAGATTTCTTGGGTGGATTAGCAATGGGTCTAGCCCTTAGAATATTTTGGGGTGCCCATGCATTATTTATCTCTTGGTACCTTCTTTTCCTTTGTTTGATAAATTTGCCTGATGAGCTACTATTGATTTTTTTTTAAATACTTTTCCTATTTGTCTACCTTAGAAACAATATTAATTACACCATAGCCGTACAGTTATTCTTTCTGCAATTTTTTGACTCTGAACATTTTAATATGCACACTATTGTATTTCTGTGGAGGTTGATGATGTAGAACTTGACGCAGGGAGAGAGCTAAAGGACATTTTTTCCTCTTTGTCCAGGAACTGTTCAAATCCTAAAATCAAAGGAGCAATTATATTTCATGAACAAGGCCCTCAATTATTTGACTACAGTATACGCCTTAACCATTCATGGGCTTTTTCAGGATTTCCTGATGTCAAAACTATCATGGACACCAATGGACCCTATCTCAATGATTTGGAATTGGGTGTTGACACTGTACCAACTCTTCAGTATGGATTCAGTGGTTTTCTGACTGTATGATCTCTTCTCTCTTCCCCTCTTTTTTGGCTGATGATCTAAAGAGTTTTAGTTTTAGGGCCTGTTCATTTGTTCTGAAGTCTGACATTTGAAAGTGTAATAATTACATTAAGAGGTATATTGGTATTGGTGAAATTTTCTTTCCTCTAAACTCTGAATGCAGAGAATGTTGTTCTGAATTCTGAAAACTATCAAATATCCATTTTGATCCCATATATGAGAGTTTTTGTTTGCCTTTTTGGGGGTATCATTGGAAAACAAAAAGTTGTATGATTGCACTTTAAGAAGTAAGAGATAAGAGGAAATGAACAACCAATTTTCTCATAAAGTTAAAAGATTCCTCTTAAGAGATAAGAGTTAAGAGGAAACGAACAGACCCTTAACATACTTTTTTCTTGATAAGTGAACTGAAAGAATTTTATTAATGAAAGAGTTAGTTTTGGTATTCAAGAACAACCTATAATCATATGAAAAATTAGACTACCTCAAGGATATACTACCTAACCATGGAAATCAGGTAATAACGAGGTAGCTTAACATGTAAAGTGACATGTAGGTGACAATGCACTCATGGAGGGTCGGCTCGCTTAATCACCATGATATTTTTTACACAGTGCTCTTGGATACTTCAATATTCTTAGCTTTCTGATATTATAATAATAAAACAGACATTATTAAACTAAATTATTCAGTTTAAGTTAAAATACTATTTTCTTTTTATTATTTTTCTTATTTGTTAGGGTTCAAGCAAGATGTATACTGTCTTGAACACTCAAAGACTTCAAAACCTGAACCAATGAGCATGGAAGAACTCAAGATTTTATCCAATCAACACATATTGATTTTCTTCTTCTTCTTCTTCTTCTTCTTTCATTCTTTCTTTTCTTTTCTTCTTTTCCTAGGACGGAATATAGAGGCTCAACCTCTCTATTTTTCTGAAATTTCTTTTCTTTCTTACTTTTTTTTTTCATGATTATGTTGATTTTCTATGTTTTCAATGAAGTTTATATATTTTATGAAGATTATAGATAACTAATAGTGAAAGACTGCTTGCTATGGAATATAGCAAATTACCCTAGGGTTTTATTAAAAAAAATCCTATTGCTTAGGTGATGCCTAAGTACCCACCTAGGCGGCTAGGCCACAAGGCGCCTCTATTGCCTAGCCTTGTCTTGGCACTTTGAAAACTATGGTGTGTCTGTATATGTATTAGCAACAGAAAGAAGTTTTAGTTCCAAAATAAACAATTAGAGTGGTTGTAAATTTATTTGCATGTCTAACAAAGAGTGTATGATGGACATTCTTTTGGACACATCCAGTCTTTTTGACTGCTTTTCAAATCTATTAAATCAAGCCTGACAAAATTGCTACATGATGTAAATAAAATTTTAATTTGCAGAGCTTCTCTAATCTGATTCTTTATAGCTTGGTTAAATTGCAAAATCTAGCTTAAAACTGTTTATATCAGTTCTAGAATAGAATTTAATGATGACATTATTAAGTGGTGACTCTTAAAAGTTTGAATCTGTATTTCAGGTAGTGATTTGACAACTTAGTGTTTTATTTTAATTTCATTTCAACTTTAATTCTTATTGCAGCTACAGCACGTAATAGATTCATTTATTATATTTGCTTCTCAACAAGATGAAGCTAAAATTGCCCTGGAAGACAATGAACCGTCTTTAAATTCATCTGGAACTGCCTCTGTCAAGCTTCCCTGGACACAATTTGGTCCTTCAAACATAAGGATTGCTCCATTTCCCACTCGGGCATACACTGATGATGAGTTTCAATTCATCATCAAGAAGGTTATGGGTGTACTGTATGTAACTTTGAACTTTCATATCCCTGCACTTTCATTGATTTTTTCAGCAATCTTGCATTATTTTGTGGAATAAAAATCTATGCTTATGAGCCTCTAATTTCTAAGGAGTTATTTTGGTTGCAATAAATTGTTATTTACAGGTACCTTTTAGGATTTCTCTACCCAATTTCTCGTCTGGTCAGCTATTCCGTGTTTGAGAAGGTTTGGGAATGAGTATGAGATAAAATATAAGTGATTTTTTAATAATATATGTTAACATAGCTAACTATTTAGAGTTTTGCTTTCACATTTTTTTGAGATGTTAAAATTTATTAATCATTGTCTTTGTACCATCAGCTTTTATTATTTATATATCTCAAATTATTGTGTTTCAGGAACAGAAGATTAAAGAAGGTCTTTATATGATGGGCTTGAAAGAAGAGATATTCTATCTTTCTTGGTTTATTACATATTTTTTCCAGGTAAAGTTCTCTTCTGTTGCGTTTTTTTTGGCTTTTTTGTTGTTCTTCATATTAGATACTTGTAACTTCTATTAGCGAGTATTCATATACGAAAAGGGGATGTGGGTCCATACGAATATAACTAGATGCAGAAATTGAAATTATCATACAATTCCACGACTAATATATTTTCATATTCTCGAATTTAGATAAGTAAAATTTTTCAGGACTTTGGCAGAGTTCTATGAGGGAGGGCATGATTTCAGTAACACCAAGGAGTATTTCCATTACCTCTCGTGGTAGGGTTAGGGGGAAAAGTGTCTTGCTTTAACTTCTCTTTTGGAGGGTTGTTCCTTGCCTCCTTGGGCCTGAGTAGGGGGGACCCGGCTTGGCCCTTTTTTTGGCTTGTTTTCGGTGTCCCAGCATGGCTAATGTCTTTTTTTGGTTCTTGAGTGTCACGGTTGTTATCTGCCGTTGGTCCTGGTTGTGGCTTAGGTGTTCTTGGGTCTTTGTCTGTTTTGCATGTTCGCTCCTCATTGAGCATTCTCTTGTACTATTTTTCCTCTCTTTTAATGCTATATACTTTCTCTTAAAGAATTTTTCTTTTTTTTTTTTCAGGACTTTGGTCAACCCTACATTCTATGACCTGCTTTCCCCTTTCTTGTTGTATGATCTTAGTTTCTTTTGCTTTGTTACATGGATACTAGTACAAATGATGGAACCTGACCTGGGTATGTGGTGTCAAACTTGGCGATCCTGAAAAAAAAGGATTCAGGGACTTGGCTATGTTAATGCAAACAACACTAAACCAATAAAAGTTGATTGCACTAAATTGTGAAACATTATAAATTTCTCATTCAATGAATCAATGTCCAATTCTACCCTAAGATTTTGGAGTTCTTTAGTGAGATATTATAGATGTGAAAAAAAGAGTCTCCTCAAGGCTGACTAAGGACATTGAAATTTGATGCAAATGGGTAAAGAGAAGTGCAAATTCATTTGCAGATGGCTTAGCTAGGGAGGGGTCAATAGGAATTCTGTTTTTTTGATCTCAGACTCTCAGTTGTAATTGTTTTCTTTATTTTGGGTGTATTTTTGACTGTTTTGGGGAGTTAAGATATTTTAACTCCTCTCCTCTGTATTTTTATTCTTAATGAATCTTCTGTTTTTGATAAAAAGAAAGTGTCATTCTTGGTGTTGGTGTCCACATGTCTGACATTGATAGTTTGATACATTACTATGACATCCATTTTGAAGTGTCCCTCTAATATAGCTGCCTCCTAAATTTTAAAATTAAAATGCCTTTGGCCTTGTTTGCTATCACTTGTACTTTTTATTTGATTTATAACAACTTAAACTTAAGACAAAAGTGTTCAGGAAGTTTACACCAAGGAGGAACAAGAAAGAGAAAAGGGGCAGAGGGAGAGAGCAAAGAGGATGGGCCTTTCATTGTCTTCTGTTTGTCTTAGGGGTGCAATTTGGGTGGGTTTGGGCTGGGCTTTTAGTCAAATTTGATTAGCCCGCCCAAAAACTCGGGCCCAATGCAATGTAAATTCTTTAAACTGGGTACCAATGCATTGTAAATTCTTCAAATCGGGTACCAATGCAATGTAAGTTCTTCAACTTGGGTACCCGACTTGCACCCTTTGTTTGTCTTTCCTCAATAGAAACTCCCACTATTTGTATTAGTTTCAGAACTTAATCCAGCATAGAAGTGAAAAGGAGCCCACTTCGTTTATTTTTCCTGTTTAACTGGATGGTTCAATGTAAAAGTTGTTTGAACCTGCTGGTTTTCATTGAACTGTATTGGGGCCTGGTTCTTGTGCAAGCAGTTTGGTGGGTCTGGTCTTCAGAATATTGTCATAATCATACTAACATCTTCCATTTGTGAATTGTCACTTTTGCATTGCCACAAGCCCCAAGAGCTGATCTCTTGATCTTATTTGGAGGGTTGTTCCTCAACAGCATCAAAGTAATTATTCTTCAAGCCTTCTGAAGTACTCAACTGCTTGTTCATTTGGAGGAAGGAAAATTACCATTTCTTGTTAAATTAAGATTTTTATTGTAATGGTTATAGTTTTCTGTTCATTTATAGGTCTAATCTTTATGACAAATCTTATAATGGGATATTTCATCCTACAACTGATATCATGAAGAACTACAGGAACTTTGGCATACTAAAAATGTTCAAAGCAACTATTGTAAAAAAGGCACCTATTGTTATTCTATTATAATCAATAATGCTTGACATACCATTATTGGAAATCAGAAATAACACATGCTAGTGGTGGCAATTCTTGAACATATTATTTTTTCCCACTCTGGACACATCTGACTATTGAATATGTTTCAGCTTGGCATTGCACCCAGAATATGAGCCCTAAACTTATCATTTGCTTAATAAGATCATATTCTTTTGGGTTGTCTTTTCTGACAAGGATGTTTATGATCTCACATGTATGCTGTTAACTGTAGTATAATAAATTCCTGGTTTTCATTCTATTTTATAAAATTTTAGGGGGGATGTGATTTCCCTTTCCATGCTTTGCTTCCTTCTACATTGGTTGTTATATTGCAATGAATTTTTTTTTTCAGGTTTTGTTTATATTTCAGGACATTTTGATGGGGTTTTCATTTTTCTTTTCCATACTTTGCTTCATTTTACAGTTTGCCATTTCTTCTGGTGTCATAACAATCTGTACAATGGGGAGCCTTTTCAAGTATAGTGATAAGTCAGTGGTTTTCATGTACTTCTTTTTGTTTGGACTCAGTGCAATCATGCTTTCCTTTTTGATCTCTACATTCTTCACTCGAGCAAAGACAGCTGTTGCAGTTGGGACGCTTGCTTTCCTTGGAGCCTTCTTCCCTTATTATACAGTCAATGATCCAGATGTCCCTATGTTAGTACTCATGTTAATACAAATTTCTTAAAATTTCTTTTTTGTACTTAAAAGTTCTATGCTTCAATTAGTACTCATATGGAGAGTCTCTGCCTTAGGATATTAAAAGTTATTGCTTCTTTGCTTTCACCTACTGCTTTTGCTCTTGGGACGGTTAATTTTGCTGATTATGAACGTGCTCATGTTGGAGTTCGTTGGAGCAATATATGGCGGGTACATCTTTACATATGATCTTGTTTTCAAAGTTCTTTTCCTCTGTTATTTCTATTTTCTAAACTTTCTGTTCAATGGTCCTGTAGGCATCATCTGGAGTTAACTTTTTGGTTTCTCTCATTATGATGTTACTTGATTCAATTTTATACTGCGCAATTGGTCTATACCTGGATAAGGTATTTCTTTCATGCTTTTCTTTTTCTTTTTCACGTGCTTATGCTTTCATCATGATGTCTGGAGCCAATTCTTCCTTGTCTTTGGAAGGGAATTCTCTATGATGCACAGGGCTAAGAGTATTTTCCTTTAGTACAGTAATCAGAAATTCAAATTGTCTAGTTTGGCCAGCTTTTTCAGTCTCTTGGAATATATCCAAGGAGCAGCCTCCCTGTGTAGGCTTCTGATCCAGTCCACCCTTCCTAAGACCTCAGATAACTGGGACCAACATTGAGTAATGGCCTTTTGTATGGCTTTGTTTAACAACTTTATAAATAATCTGGCGAATGTTTATTCAGAATAAGCCAGAGGATAATAATTGACATCCAATGCAAACTATCCAAGTTATCCAACTGTATGAATTTTTTTAATTGATGGGTAACTGTATGAAATCTTTAAAACCTTTTACCATTGAACCTGGGTTCAGTTCAGCACCTGGTTATGTTTTACAACTCCATGGAAGTCTATCTATGAAATGATTCTTTGGAAAGGATAAAAATGAAATGACCTCCGAAGACTAACAGGGGTACATGGAAAGACTGGAGGGGAGGGCTAACCATAAGTGCAGGAGAATGAGCAAATAGTTCATATCTATTCACCACAAATAGTCTTCTTCTGTCTATTATGTTTTTAGAATATTTTCTCTGATTATCCGCTCAATGACTGCCTGTGAATCTTCCTCCACCTCCAAACGGCATTCTCAACTTAAAAAGTTAGTGGTATTTCCAACCTCCACCCAAGGTTTAAAATGTCAGTGTCAGTAGAAATGTTGGTCATCTAAATTTAGGAAACATGTCAAATGTCAGAACGTATGGAAATATTGTAAAAGTTATAGACATGGTGAAAACATTATAAAACATGCAATAATATAGAATGATATTTTATAAAATGACAAAAGAAGCATAGGTACACCTTTTTAAATTATTACCTTGTTCCAAATCATTAAACAAAGCAAAGAAACTAAGGTTATAAGCCTAAAACTAAGTTTTACCATCACCACAACCAAGTCCTTCTGTTCATATTGAATTGGCTAAAAGTTTTTACGTTTGCTACCACTTACGTGACTCTCCTTTATCTGGATGTGGGCCTTTTATTTTATCTTATGTTCTAGACATGCAAGGTTGTTGGGTTTTCTGGTGGTTGTCTTACTATATTTCTTCATATGTCCGAGTCAGCATTGTCATGTTTGCGTGGACTTGGCCTTGTAATATTGTTTATTTTTTTTGATCAGCAAAGTCGAATTTTATTCTGAAAATAGAAAACGATGCTGTATGTACAAGGAGTACATGTTTCTGTACAAGAACAAGGACCCATAGTAGCATAACATATTTCCATTCCTGTGCTCCATTAAGAGCCCCACAATTGACACAAATTTAACCCAATGAATATTTCTCCCAACACAGATATTTTCTACCCACCCCTTCACGAGCTGGGGTATCTGCCAAAGAATTAGGAGATCCTGTAACCCAGAGAATTTCTGCTTGTATTCTTTGGCATGATCCTCTAGCATTGCTGATCATGTTCAAACTTCATTGTTTTTTGTCTGATTTTTCTGTTTTTTGTTTTTGTTTTCTGTAATTTTCCTACTTTGATCTTGATTGAATCCTCATTATTAATAGAAAAAGCTATTGCAAAATGACTGTTAATCAGGTTGTTGTCTGTCATGAATAAGTTTTCAAAGCATTTAGTTCTACACTACTTTTTTCTGATCAGTAACAGAAATTACTTTTATTAAGTTTAGTCATATACTCGTATGCTACTTTAGAGTTGGAAGTTCAAAACTTTTGGACTCTTTATGTCCATTTCTTTTGTTTGGTTTTGTCTATTTTGGATTGGTTAAATTTTCTTTTGTTTACATGTTTCTAATTACTTTCCTTTTCTTTTTTGATATGTAGTTTCTAACTTCTTTTCTTTTCTTTCAATAAATTTGATATATGCTTTAAAAAAGAAAGGAAATTTCTATTCATGCTTCATATCTTCTTTGTACATGGAGAAACTTTGAGATATTTGTATTTTCAAATCAGGTACTTCCTAGGGAGAATGGAGTTCATTATCCATGGAACTTTTTATTCAAGAGTCGGTATCGGCAGAAGAAAAGCATGATGCAAGATGATGCATCTGGTCTAGGGGTTAAAGTAAACAATAAGTTTTGCAATAATGGTGTCATGTTTAATGATATTTCTATGCCTACTATTGAAGCAATAAGCTTGGATATGAAACAACAAGAGCTTGATGGAAGGTATGTATTGATTTTTATGACTTCCATGTATGGATGTTCATCTTTCTTACCTTTGATACATATTACTTGTTTTGCAGATGTATTCAAATCAGGAATCTGCATAAGGTATACGTTACTGAAAAGGGCAAATGTTGTGCTGTGAACTCATTACAGCTTACCTTATACGAAAATCAGATTCTTGCTCTTCTGGGTATCTTACTAACATTGTTTCTGTGATGGATAGATTCCATTTCTTATGCTTGTTATTAGGTGACTCTTTAACTGCATTTCTTTTTGAGTTGATGCAATTTGTTCATTAACTAGTAAGTGATGATAATTTGTTTGAGTTTCCATGTCTATCCATTCCCTTTTTTTCAGGACACAGATTAATAAATTTCTTGTTCTTTTTTCTGATAAAAAAATCTTGTTCTTTTAACTATTATCAATGATTAATATTTAATTTGATATTAAATCTCCACTGACTTTATTAAATCTCCACTGACTTTATTTGCCTTTCTTTTCTTTAATAAATTTTCTTTTTTATTTATTACCAAAAAAATGACATAAGATTTCTATCCTTTTTATTTGCATTGGTTGCACTGATTAGATTGTTTTACTTTGAAGGGCACAATGGAGCTGGCAAAAGCACAACCATTTCTATGCTTGTTGGCCTTTTGCCTCCTACTTCAGGGGATGCTTTGGTTTTTGGAAAGAATATCCTAACTGACATGGTATATTTTATCTTTTGAAAGCTTACTTTTCTCCTTGTTAATTGCCCCGGTATATAAGTGCCTATTAAATCTTGTCAAATAATCTTTTTCTAAATTACTAGTTTTTGTGCTGCATGTTATCCATACATGACTTCTATGATCAAATATGGTTGATGGTTTATCCATATATGAATTCTATGGTCAAACATGGTTGATGGTTCATATAGTTATATCTTCAGGCATCCATGATTAGGACTGTGAATGGATCAAATCAAGTTTACAATCCAGTTAATTATAGTTGGTTTGTGGCTATGCTATAAATCAGATGGATCTTGGTACTTTTGGTTTCATATTACAGAGGCCACAGTCTTGGCTTTCAGAGTGAACATATTGTTCCAATGGGTTCCAAGATTTTCCAATGGGCTAAGAGGGGGATGGGGTGTTCTGGTGGGTGGATGTAGTGCTGGCCTGAAAGTTGTTTTTCTTCTACTGTCCCTGCTTTCTTGTATTCTTTTCCTTCTCCACATTATTAATATATCCTTTTCTTATTTGTTTCTCAACTTGAAAATAAAACAGGGATGGAAAAAAAACTGCAAATATATAACAAAAAACAAGAAATAATATATTATCCTGAAATAATGGTCTTCCAGTACGACTCAAATCTCCCCACTCCACCCAGGTATGATTTCGTATGGTGGAACACAAAAAATAAATACTATACTCTTACAAGAGATCATTGATAGAAGTCATAGAACCAAGATCTTCTCATAATCTTACACTCTTGCAGGAAACCATACCATACTTGATGGAATTAGAAAAGGCAAAAAGGATTCTAGTTTTGATTGGTCATGAAACACACAATTGCTAGATTTCCATTGGACAATCTTCAAAGCGACATTTGCATTTACCTTACCCAGAACTTTTCAATTCAATTTGTGGTCTTTATGATATTTTGGGCAAATGACTATTGCATTGCTACGTAAATTGTTATGTTACTTTGGGGTGGAGCAAGGTGTAGTATGGAAAAGGGTTGATGGGAAAATTTATGGGATGGGAGTGAAGTAGTGTAACACCATCTTTTTTTTTTGATAAATAACAGAAATTTCATTAATAGTTAAAGAAAACAACAATTACAACCTCCAAGAGGATGGGTAAGCTCTCTCAATCCTCCCCAAGGACAACAGAAACAAAAGCACAAACAATTACAAGCAAGCCCAGTAGCCCGCAAAGATTGAGCCCTTCCCACCCCTGTTTAGCTAAGGCATCTACAAAGGAGTTGGCACTCATTTTAACCCACTGATGTCTTACTACCATACCCCTTGAAAGCCATTTGAACTTCTTTTTTTCATTTGCATATTCCCATAGTCCATTCTCTTCTTTTTTTCCAACCAGCCAATAACTATCTTAGAGTCACCTTCAATGACTCAGAAAATAAAGCCAAGACTTGTCCTCCCTCATTCCTGAATACACTTCCAATACCTGAAGGCCCGGAATTACCTTCATTGCTTCCATTAAAATTTAACTTTATAAACCCTTTGTAGAGAGATTTATTGTATTTGGTTGTGTTTGGGTTTTCTTTTGGGGAGGGTGCTGTAGGTTACAAGGGTATATTTGTAATGTTGATAAATTCTAGGGACTTGTATGTATTTATGGGAGGAAGAGGGGCCTATGTGAAATTCTGATATAATTGGGTCTTTTGCTTATTTAAGCCATTGGTTGTGTGGGATTAGGGTTGAGTGAGAGTGGATATTTTGTTGTGAGTCTATAGAGAGGTCATCCATGTATCTCTTGTTCTCATAGTAGATATTTTTCCCTCTCTTCCCGTGGATGTAGGCTACTGAGCTGAACCATGCTATATCTTGGTGTTTTCTCTATTTCTTCTTGATTTGTTATTCTATTTTTTATGTTCGTTGACACCCTTCAGCTGGTCGAGACCACAATGGAGTAAAGACAACTTTCCTTGGAGCTTATTCGGTCACTTCCTCCTAGCTATTCAATAGCAGCCCTATTGGAATATCCTCAAACATTTTTAGGGATTTCACCCATTGCATCACTCTAATTGTAACAACCTCCAGAATTGCACTTAATCTCCTTTCCTTATCCTGGAATATCCTTTGATTCCTTTCTTCCGTAACTATCCAACTTATAGAAGCTCTTGTGCATCTCCATAGAGCTTTTTCCCTTATCTTCATCCCACTAATATCCAAGGAGAACGGAAGGGAATTTTAAAAAATTTTGAGGACTCCAGTTTTTTTGGACAACTTAGACTGGATGATATGGTTGAAAGAATTCAACAACAACAATAGGTGGTCGAAGCAATGTGTTAGGATCCCATCAGCCAACCTAGAAGCCCAGGTCCATTCCAAAGGAGTCCTGATACTGGATGGGGAGAAAGCTACAATGATTGAGCATTAGAAGCACTGGTCAACAGCCTACGACTGAGTATACACTAGAAGATTCTCACACCACATCAACTAATCTATTGAGACCTGCACATGGGAATCAAAAGTTAGTTGCGATTTGCAACTTTGCAATAAAAAGTATAAATGGGAGAGATCCCTATGAGGGCATAAATACAAGCATTTTCCTTTCCATCTTCCTTTTTTTTGTAGGAGGTGTGCTATCCTCGAAGGAGCACCTGTTGGTGGGTAGTAACCCATCATTTGGTATCAAAGCTGTAGAGAACACT